AAACATCGATATATCGATATATCGGACCAATTTTCCCAAAAATATCGTTTACGAAATATGACACGCGGAATAATAACGGAACGAAAATTATCTCCCTAAAAATAGACCCTATTTTCGAATGATGACATAGACAATACTAAATACTGCACAGATCATAGATATGTTGTATATCATTAATCTGAGATCCAGTTACGATTTTTCCAGATACGAATTTAGTTAGATCGTGATATGCCGCTAATAATTAAAAAAATATCGTTTTTGGTACGAATTTCGATATTGGTTATTTTGTATCGATGTATCGATATATCGAATCAAAATATATCGGCAAAAAATATCGATATATCGATACATCGATATATTTTCAACAAGCCTACTTTGTGCCGCTGCTGTTCAAGTTTCCATACAAAATTTGACATTGTCATTTCGGTTTGCAAACTATTCGAATTCGATAATGGTTCGTGCTAAGCTCGTTCGACGAATATCGTATTCGTTTCGTTTGTGAGTACGAAATGTCATTGTCAAATGTGTACTGATTTTTAGTTCTTGTTACGTACGTTATGGCGTTTAATGTTCAAGTTTTCGTACAATATTTGACAATGACATTTCGAACTCGCTAAGTATTGGAATTCGATAATGGTCCGTGCTAAGGGTACAGTTCTTACGTCCGTCTGAGATGTACTACTTGTACATACAACCCAACCAACAATAATGTATTGTGTGTTGATGAATTACCGCGGTAGTTGAAAATGAACCAAAGTTCTTATTTATTATCCTTTTTGAAGTAAAACTTCTTTTCGTACGGGGTGTAAATGGATGGAAAATATGAAAAGGGAATGCGTCAAGAGCGTCACACGACTATCTTACATATAAAATTCTCGTGTCACAATGTTAGTTGCCATACTCCTCCGAAACAGTTGAGAAACGGTATGTTAAGTATACCACCACAATGGCGTCGATTCTGGCAGCGTTCTCTAGGCCTAGACTTGGATTAGGCGGCAGTGTATCCTTGTCATTCTCAATACAGAGTGCAAGTGAGGGACTGGTGTTGGATCTGTTTTTGGGTCTGGAGAATGATGTCAGAATGGATATGAACATGTACATAATATTTAGTTTTGTATTTTTGAAGTGTTTGCACTAGATTCCCTTATTTTGTTTATCGTAAGTCTACTTCGTAAGTAATTTTTTTTACGCATGCAGTGGCAGCCTTTAAGTAAGGCAGCACTAAGAATTGTTTTCTTTATTTCTTTCTCAGTTTGTACTTTTATTTGGTGTTTGTTTTGTTGGCTGTCCTTAATAAATAAATAAATAAAACAGCCTGGCCGATATTTATGAAATTTTATATGCATATTCCGTGGGTCTGAGAATCGGCTACTATCTATTTTTCATACCTTTAAGTGATAATTCTTGTCCATCTGTAACGTAGTGTTCTGAAACCTACAATGCGCCTTCGCGCCAAAAGGACATTGCTCGTTCCCCATACATTGAATGCCCTAGAACGCCCAGCAATGAGAAAATGCTAGTTGTGTTCGGAATCATTTATAAACTCTAATTAGGCATTTGTTGAGATACGGACAACTTGAGGAACCGTGACCTACTACAGAATGTATTAGATTTTGAGGTTATAATTATTATACTTAATCGTAAAAGATGTACATTTTATATATTCTGAATAGTTTTAGTGTTTACCTCTATGTAAGCACTTAAATAATATGCATTAAATGAACATAAATGCAATTAATAATAAAACTAATACATGCTTTTATTCATATTGATTTATGAGCGTTGTCAGTTGGCACCTATGATACCTATACATAGGTACCTGTAGTAATAATAGATTTATTTTCAAATGAAATGTTCAAAGTCTTTCCATTTACCTGTTTCTATATTTTACTATTGGTAATTAGGTATGTACCTGGTTATCATTATGATTTTTATAAAAATAAACATATATTACATGGGATGGGAGTTGGGAGTATAAACTATCTTTACATAATTTCAGAAATAATCTTTTTATAAATATAATATTAATACTAGTAATAAGTATTGTTAACTAAGGTACCTAGTTCTATTTTTATGTTGATAAATACCTATGGTCGCCTGTAAACAATTTTGGCACAACTTTTTAACAGAATCACCCATTTAATAATAAAATATTAACGAAGCCAATAAACTATTAAAATAAAATGTTATTATAGACTGAAACCTATTGAATCCAGTTATCAGTTGATTTTTAATGCTGTATTTTCAATAAATAGGAGTGCCAAGTTGGATGAACAGACTGTAGTATCTAGTAACAGAACTTTTATTTTTTATTTTTTTAAACACTTTGTCCGTTTACTATGATTAATTGCTAATAAGTTAAAAAAATAATAGAAAAATAATAGTGAAGGACATTCTTTTGGGAATGCTAGGGCCGATTTCGTCGATGTCCTTTAAACTATTGGGTATTGTAACGTAGTGTTCTCATATGGATTAGAAGGAATGTTATCCCAGGAAATTGATAGAACACTACGTTACACACCCCTAATTTTTTTTTGGACAATATATATTTTTTTATAATGTGGTATGAAAAATACATTCAACCCTAAATTTTCTCTTCTACCACCTGCCCCTATTTTTATGGCTATACGAAGTTCGCTCGGTCAGCTAGTAATATATACAGGGTTACAGGGAAAGTCGTACTGAATATTGAAGGACGTTATTATTCACGTCATTTCTGATAGATTTGATCCTATAATATGGTGTCCGAAACTTAACCGTTATGGAGATATTGGATATTAAAGATTTTTTTCGATTTTTTTGAAACTAGAGCTCCAAAGGTCCGATTTTTTAATGTATCTAGTTAGAAAACATGTCAGGCAATAAAAATAATGAATAAAAACTGAACCTACTTCTAACGGCTTAAAAAAACTGCTCGACAACGGTTATAACTAAAGAATTTTCACCAAGTGTTCTTAACTTTGAAGCGCTTTTCTAAAAAAAAATGTATGGAACTTATTCTGCAAATAATTTTAAAAACTTCTACGTCTCTTTAGCTATTCAAAAAGGTATATAAATTGGCAAAACATTGACCAAATAACAGTTATGGTAGCAGAGGGTACATATATCCAATCGCAAATATCGATATTTTGCGACAAAGGATTATTGATGCGGCTGAGGATATGAGGCGGAACTTAAAAACTTCTGTAGTAAAAAGTAATTTAAGAAAAAGATTGAGAATATATTGTGTTAGAAATAGCGGCGGCCATGTTGAACATGAATTATAAAAATATTTACTATGCTTTTCTGGTTTTATTTACGTATTTTTGCTATTTTTACCTCAAACTAAAAATGTACCCTTTGCTACCATAACTGTTATTTGGTCAATGTTTTGCCAATTTAATAGCAAGTGTTATACCTTTTTGAATACATAGCTAAAAAGACGTAGAAGTTTTTAAAATTATTTGCAGAATAAGTTCCATACATTTTTTTTAGAAAAGCGCTTCAAAGTTAAGAACACTTGGTGAAAATTCTTTAGTTATAACCGTTGTCGAGCAGTTTTTTTAAGCCGTTAGAAGAAGGTTCAGTTTTTATTCATTATTTTTATTGCCTGACATGTTTTCTAACTAGATACATTAAAAAATCGGACCTTTGGAGCTATAGTTTCAAAAAAACCGAAAAAAATCTTTAATATCCAATATCTCCATAACGGTTAAGTTTCGGACACCATATTATAGGACCAAATCCATCAGAAATGACCTGAATAATAACGTTCTTCAATATTCAGTACGACTTTCCCTGTAACCCTGTATATGTGTGTGGGTTTTTTTTTTTATAAAAGGTCCGACAAATGACTCCACCCCACCTGATGTTAAGTGAAGGTGAACTCCAGACGCGAAGATAGCTGATACAGCAGTTCTACCTGCCACACCAGCCATCCTCACCCTGCCGGCCTGCATGTTGCTTCTTCACGCCTCTTTTAAAGGATCCCAGGTTGTAAGGGGTTGATGCGTGCGCAACTCTTCCTGACGGGCATGAAAGTTGGAGGATAACTCGGCGAAGGCTGAAACGCTACGAGAGTCACACATGAGTGATGCGTGCGCTACTCGATTTCTCTATGCCTTATGCACCGCCTAATTTAATTTTTTTTTATTTTTTTTTTATTTATTTTTTTAATTTTTTTTTAATTAAAGAAAAGAAGTTTCACTTCAGATGTGTGCTCTGTGCACACTAATTTTTATGATTGTAGTAGACTCTTCAGATCTGTTATACAGGGTGTAGAAAAACCTTTAACGAAGTCGAAGGCCACGTATTTCCACATCATGGCGCTCATTTTTTTCTTCTGCACCATACCTGGGTTATGTGGATTATGGATATATGGATATATTATGGATATATTAAAGGTCAAAGTCAAAACTTTTTTTTTTAAGATTTATACATTAACTAGCAAACCAGTGAACCAAATGTTCACAAAAAAAAAGTATTTAATTAATTGAGAACTTCGGAGATTTTGTGTGGTTTCGTTTGAAATAGAAATCACGTGATTTCTCGAAAACCGGAAGTGCTACGTTACTCACATCCGGTTTGTAGTCTTATCAGACTATTCTTAACTTATAACTTAAACATTCTCTTTATCTATCTCTTACGGCTTGGCCGCTGAAACAGCACCACGGACGGACGGACTTGTCTATTAGATAAGAGATATTTTCAAAACGTTATTTACGAACTTTTTTATCGACGCACTTACACACACACACACACATACACACAGGCACATCCTTTACGTAGCGCCACAGTAGCGCGCCGTGCTATACATTGCGTACAGGAAAAAAATGTATATTTTTAACTTAAAAATATAAAAATTTTCCCACGTATAATATTTTGTAATATGACTTGTTTGGGTGTACAGAATGCGTGGTTTTAGTCTTTGTCATAGGTTTTTTTACACCCTGTATATGATTCCACGTCGAAAAACTAAAAAGAAACAGGATTTATGGTGTGGCAAAAAGAAACTCCAGACGGCTCCGAATAAACTTTTATTGGACAAACGTCAACTCCATGAGAAGTATCGTCACAATTTACATCAACTCTCTAATAAAATACAATTAATTTATTTATTAATAATAATCATTAGTTCCTAACTAGCGTGTTTACATAGTCACACCGGCCCAACTTCTAACATTACAAACACCGTACAAATATCTGTATACATTGCTTACTCGCTAACGATACGATGACACTTTAACTCTAGAAGATGACGTAGCTACCAGCTATATTTGTACGCGATATCGAAATTTCATTACGAAAATATCAATATAAGATACACTAACGAACTTAACACGACAGACGCACTATACCTCTAGCCATACCCCTGGGGGTAGGGTGGGACTGAACCATACCACCATTGTAGTACTGGGATTTTATGGAATAATAGAATAAAAATAGATACCTAACAGATACAAATATTTAGTTTAACAAAAAAAACCGAAAACGTAACGAGGTCATTTGTTCAGTAGATTTTACTCCTCATATTTTTTTCATACCGGGGGGCCTTATATGAAAATCAATTCTTAAGGAGTACTGGCAAAACCTAAAAATCTAACAAATACTGAATTTGTTATTTATTTTAAAACAGAAAAACTTAAAAGATTTTAATCTATAGAAAAGTTTACTAGGAAAAAGATCCACGCGGACCAGGCAGCGGACGGGACTGCTACAATATTACAGTACAGTATAGTACATATTTATACTATGTCGTATGGGATGCTATTGACACCAGGTACCTACGTAATATTCGGAAAAACAAAACCTGCAAGCATATAGTGCACAGCACTACGGTGGTATGGTTCAGTCCCACCCTACCCTAGGGATGTCGAAAGTTGAAAAAAATATCGATATATCGATACATCGATCTTTTAAAAAATATCAATATCGGCTTCGATATATCGGACCAATTTTCCCAAAAATATCGTGCAGTATCTCACGAAATATGACACGCGGAATAATAATGGAACGAAAATTATCTCCCTAAAAATAGACCCTATTTTCGAATGATGAAAATGATTGCAGGGCCTCTCAGGTAAATGATTGCAGGGTCTCTTTCGTAAACAAGACTAGACAGTCACACACTTCACAGAATATAATGGAAATCAGCACAACTAATTCACCAGCGAAACAGATTTACAAATAACAGATAATAGTAAATACAGCACAGATCATAGATATGTTGAATATCATTAATCTGAGATCCAGTTACGATTTTTCCAGATACGAATTTAGTTAGATCGTGATATGCCGCTAATAATTAAAAAAATATCGTTTTTGATACGAATTTCGATATTGGTTATTTTGTATCGATGTATCGATATATCGAATCAAAATATATCGGCATAAAATATCGATATATCGGACAAAAAATATCGATATATCGATATATTTTCAACAAGCCTACCCTATCCCTGGGGGTATGGTGGTGGGTCTGTCATGGAACTTAAATAGGAAAGGAACAAGTGTTCGGCATTAATTATTCCCACCGGTTGGGAGTGAGAACAATTAATGAGCGTTCCAACAGAATGGGGAAAAAAATGGGAAATTTATGAGGTTTTTTTTTAATACAAATAGAAGCGGACACTAAGTATGTTGTACCTATGGATATGACTGTTGCTAGTAAGTTATATATTACAACGTTGCCAGCGGTCTAGGCCTCCTGTGTCGGCGCACTGCTCTCTGAAACACAACAGAAAAACATCATCAATTGACGGTAAGAAGCGGTCCGACAATCTGTCAAGGATGTTTGATGCGTGACAATTTTTTGCTTGTGTTTTGATAAGAGTCGTTCTTTTTTAGAGGCCAAGCCACAACAATACGAACAGGGCCGGATTTAGAGGTCCAGAGGCCTCGGGGCAACAGAGGAGCGGAGGCCCCCATCACCCCAAATTATTTTCCAAATAAAGTAAACAATTTTTTTTCTAATCAAATAATCATGTATGTTAGATGTACAAAGTACTGTAGGCTGTAGGTAAAGGTAAAAGAGCAAACAAAATATCAAAGGAAAAGATGTTTACTAGTTGGAATTTGAAATATTTTGTTTTTCCGAAGTCTATTGTGGGGGCCCCCCGTTTGTGGGGGCCCCCCATCCCTTAAATCCGGCAGTGAATACGAAAACGCAATGCAAACACTTTATAGACGAGAGGCCACTGGTAATATAAGAAGCGGGTCGTCACATTGCAATTGCGCAATTGCGAAATTCACAATGCATTTTTGCGGCTTGGCTCGTAGTATATTTACTATGAACCAAATGATGACCAAAAAAATACTCATTTATATTTGTTAACTAAAGTAGTACATGCAGAGTTTACATTTTTAATACATGCAATCTAATTTGAATTTTAATATGCAATTTGAATTATGATAGTTAATTTTGGTGGATGAGATTTTGAGTGACATTATACTGATTTAATTATATTTTTGATTCACATTTTAATATGACCTGATTTTAATCGATTTTTAAATTACATGCGTTAAAGAGCTAAATTAATCAGTCTATATTAAATGCACAATGTATTTAAGTACAATGTTTAATCAAGTAGTTAATCAACATAATGTCGATGTTTACTACGTGATAACTAAAAAAACCTTAAAATATATAATAACTAAAATACATTATTAAAAGGAGTCACTTTAGGCAAGGTTCCAAAGATACTGGCAGCGTTATCGAATTTTTATATTTTTGACTATTTATTTTGTGACCTGTTAAGTAAATTTTATTCAATTATGTGACATAGTATTAATTAATTTGATAAAAAACTTATGTAAATTTGCATGCTACGGTATATAGCTGAATAGGTGAAACCTACAGTATAGTTATGTGTAACTTTTTATGATCTTGATTACCATGTTCAAACGCAAATAAATAATTATTCTATTCTATTCTAATTTACAAACATTTTGGAATCATAAATGTGTTGTCATTCACTTTATAAGCAAACGTAGTTCATCAAAGTAATTTATCAAAAATATGTAACTTATCAGTTGAAGAAATCTTTTAAAGATTGGTAATGCCTCGGTTTAATGAAAAAGATATTTGTAAGCTCTCAGAAATTGGACACTTAAGTCAATCAGAGCGATTAAGGCGCACTATAACTTAATATCTGTGCAATTAGGTGCCCTTCTAAGTGGGAGAGCACGTACTTTGTCCACTCAGGGGAAAAATATAACTTAATTTTTACGGAAATACTTTTAATGATGTCACGTAAAGCATTGATTATTAAAAATAACATGAATATATGGTAAGGAAAGATCTATTTTTTGTTTACTGTATTAGATTAATTTTTTTTACTGATTTTTAGAGGACAAGTAAATATTAATGAAATTAAAGGGAATTTTGTGAAGACCTAACTTTAAACAAATACCTTATTATTAGGAAGTGTTCCCGTCATTATTAATTAAGTGACATTGCAATTATGTATATCTTAATTTATATTTAATTAAAGCTGTAAATAGAAATTTTAATTCTAAAATATCGTGATCAATATAATTTCGTATTATGAGACTGTAGGTTTTCTAATAATAATAATATAAGTAGAATTAGATACAGAACTTTTGCAAAAATCTTTATACGAAACGAGAATTTGTTTGTGCAAATTCCAACCTTTTTTGAATTTCGTTTGATATCCTGATTTTTTATTTACACGGGGCATAGTAAATTTATAGAAAGTCAATTATAGATTTTTTTTTTATTTTTTTTTATTTATTGATTTTTATTTACACGAAGCCCTGGATGTTAAGTGTGAGTCATGAAGAGCTGGCACGGCAGAAAAGTGTGCCACTCCAGCAATCTTACCATTATTTATTTATTTATTATATGGTTTACCAGTGTTTGTTTACACATTACTTAAAGCTATTTACAAGATTAACTATGCACTCTAGTGTAAATCTATTAAGGTAAACACCGCATGCATTAAAGTAGACGCCAAATATAGGCATTAAGTTCATTACAATATTATTATTATCATCTATTTCCTTAGTTATGACGTTGTTCTTTTTGGAGTTTACTCCTTAAGAATCGATTTGCATAAGGGGCCCGAGGGCCCGGTATGAGAAAAATGTGAGGAGTAAAATCTATCGATGAATGACCTCGTTACGTTTTTGGTGCGCATCCTGTTGGAGCCAAAATGACTCTTAAATCCGAGAGCTTAGGTGCAGACCAACTAAATTGAAACTACAGTGTAGGTGACGTTTTGCCTATATGTAGCTCCAAACATATTTACAAGCGTGATGCAACGAACTACAGCTCCATCTATTTTGATACATATGAACTAAAATTTTAAATGCACAAATGGCGTATACATAATCGCCCACCAAGGACAAACTGAGATTTGCCCTTACAAATATTTAATTTAACAACATAACTCTGTTATCGCCCACCATGACTTAAGGTAACAAAACAAATAAAAACACTAAGATGTACAATAACATAAAATAATATATTTATACACATCTGAAATTGACTATTGTAAAAAGTTTAATGTAAAATATTTCGTCGATTAGTTATAATAAATGTATATGAAATGAATAAATATATATTTATATATGTATATTATTTTCATTAATTTGTTAATTTACCCTTTCATACAGTATCAATCTTTTTTAAGTTAAATAAACTCTTCTTGCGTCTGGTTAGACTCGAACTTAAGGAGTAAACTCCAGTCGTGCGTCGGCGCTGACACACACAATTTTTTAATTATAAATTACAATAGAGTTTTCATATAACTATCAAGCTTAATCAGTTAGTTTGATGCCATGTTTGGGACAAGATTCTTTTGAGCTTAGGATTACATTAATAGCATTTAACTGCCATATGTTCAAATCTAAAGAAAATTCTACTAGAAAAATTCCACGCGGTCTAAGTTACGAAAGGAGTCAGGTTTAAGACTGACTTAAAATCATAGATGTTGCTCTAAGCGTAAAACACGTACTTGTTTCTTAGGTTTTCACGCACATCACTCATTAAATAAAACTAGTTTTTACGGGTTAATGCACGAAACTTTATTTATTTATTGACGTTTCGTAGCCTTTACAGGCTTCGTCGTCAGAATAAAACTTTTATTCAATTTGTCGAGCTACCTTCGAAAGACTTTTATTGAGCGTTTGGTTATTTCATTGTTCGATTTTTAAGTTTTATTGTCTATGTATGAATTTATTATTTAATTTACTTAATAAAGTATTTTATTTAAAATTCTTTTTTGTAATTTTGAGTTTATTTATTTGACCCTAACTACCGTAAACTAACACCGGTTCCAAAATTGGGAGACCTTTCTGAGAAGAACCGGCGAAACAAACTCAAGAGAGGCTTTCTATCTCCTTCTTATGTTAAATTATGCAAACAAAAAGAACTAATAGTATCTGATGGTCTTGCAGTGTGTGCTCGGGGTTGGGATTTTATCTCCTGTATAATAGGTTCCCAAGCTGGTGGTATATACCAACCATCTTCCCTATTGAAATTTAGATATTTTTTAATCTCAATAGCCTCGCGCATCATTCGAGGAACGAACCGCCGCTCAGCTGCATGGATCTGTGGTCTATCAAATCTAATGTAGTGGTTTGGTCCCCCTAATGCATGTTCACACACTGCAGATTTATTTTCGCGCCTATGTTTCATATCTGCGATATGTATGCGAAGCCTGTAAAGGCTACGAAACGTCAATAAATAAATAAAGTTTCGTGCATTAACCCGTAAAAACTAGTTTTATGTAAAACACGTACACTCAGGAATTGGGAATAGTGATGAATTTGGTACGTAACTTTGTACAGACCATGATTTGAGATTGGTCCATCCATCTCCGCGCCACAAACAATTCCGACACCAACTTTCATCCGAAGTTAGTGGCGTGATCTATCGGTTGTTCATCTCAAATGAATGTTGTATATTCAATGAATATTTATTGTGATTACTGTTTTGTTTATGACACTGAAAGATATTGATGCAAAACACAATAGAAAAAAAAATATAAGAAACACATTATCAAAGTCGAAAAAAGTAGTTAATTATACAATTACTAGCGGCCGGCCTCGCTTCGCTTCGGTGTAGAGCTGAAGTGTAGACTACAGTTTTTGTTATCAGGCTTGTATTACACACAAAGCATTCATCTATGATTCTTCTTATATCTGCATGCAAAGTCTCAGCCCGATCGGTTTAAAATTGACAAAGTTTCATACAAACTTTCATTCCCTATTTTATCCCCTTGGGGGTAGAATTGATCAATAGCCTTAGATTTTAGCTTAACAGAGGACCCCGATCACTGAAAATTTTTGTACAAAAATTGTTAAGAAGAAATAAAGATTATTATTATTATTATTATTATTATTATCAAAATCCTTTCTTAGCGGATGCCTACGTACATCACCTGCATGCAATAAAATGATGTCTTCTGTCAGAAAATTTCCTATCTTTAATATTTAATATACTTTCCCTCCGTGTGAGGTTGCCGTGGGACGCCCTGTATATTCAGGGGGGCGCTACCGTCTACGCAAATGACATCTATATCAAGATTGGTTGCACCCGGAGCGCAGGTTCCGAACGCGGCCCCGACTGACATTGCCATTCAGAGACAATCTTACTAATCTGTGTTTTTCTTTTTAATATTTTTAATGTAATCTACGATTTAGAAGGCTCAAAGTCACCCAAAGGGCAATGGAGAGGGCTATGCTCGGAGTTTCTCTGCGTG